GTCATGGGGCCCTGCTCCCACCCCCCATCCACCCCCACAGAGCTAGGGCCCCACCACCCCAGAGTTAGGCCCCACCCCAAACAACCCCCCAGAGCCAGGCCCCCCCATCCCCATCCTCTCAGAACCAGGGTTACAGGACCCCACCCCCACCTCCCAGAGCCAGGGCTCCCTGGAGCTGGGCCCCGTCCCTGCCCCACCTGTGAAGCCGGGCTTGCAGATGCAGTCGTAGCGGTTGATGCCGTCGCGGCAGACGCCGTAGTCGCAGGGGTTGCTGGCGCAGTCGTCAAAGTTCACCTCGCAGTTCACGCCTGGGGAGAGGGGCCGCCTTACATCCGCGCCAGCCAGCCACCAGCAGCGCCCCACGACACCCATGGCCTGGCCAGAGCAGGGCGTGTGGGCTGGGAGGGCAGGAGCAGCGGAAAGGGAGCTGGGGGAATAACGTATTCCTGGGGACAGCACATGCCCTAGGGCTAGGCGGGTGGGAGTGAGGGGGCAGCGGATGCACCCTGGGACTGGGGGTGGGAGGCATGGTGTGTTCTGAGGCGGGGGTAGTGCATGTCCTAGGGTTGGGGGTAAGGGAAGCCAGAGGACCCAGGGGAGGGAGGGGCCATGGACCTGGAGGGGGAGTGAGGGGGGCAGCATAGGCACATGGCGGGAAGGAGCACAGTGCACCCTGGGGTGGGGCGGGAAGGGGCTGTGGACCCTGGGGATGCAGAGGAGGGGTACTGTGCACCCCTGGGGGTGAGGTGGGGCACAGTGAGCCCCTGGGAAGGAAAGGGACTGTGGACCCTAAGGATGGAGTAGGGGGTGGGGCGGGGCCACAGACCTGGCCAGCCCTGTCCCCACCTGAGGTGCCCGGCAGGCAGTTGCACTGGTACTTGTTGATGCGGTCGATGCACTTGCCCCCGTGCTGGCAGGGGCTGCTGTGGCACTCGTTGAGCTGGTTCTCGCAGCGGTAGCCGGTGTAGCCGGCGGCACAGGAGCAGGTGAAGCTGGCGATGCCGTCCAGGCAGGTGCCGTGGTGGCAGGGGTCGGGCGAGCAGTCGTCAATGTTCTTCTCGCACAGCGTGCCCTCGAAGCCTGGGGGTAGGAGCGGAGGGAAGGGGGGCTTGGCTCTGACCCTCCTCGCGGGGCAGTGCCAGGTTTGTGTGATGCTGGTGTGGCCCGAGTGCCCCGCAGCCACATGGCATGTGGGTAGCGCCACCCCTGCCTGCTGGGGAGGGGATGCCCACATGGGACAGACTCCATCAGCTCCATTCTTGTCCCATCTCCAGATGCCGGAGGGCCCTGGAGGGGGACAGCCCAGCCCCATGGAATGTGACCCCAGCCACAGGCTTGTGTGGGTCCCCAGTGCAGGCAACCGGCCCAACACATTGCCAGACCTGGCTCTCCATCCTCCATGCTGTGAGGGGAGGAGCCCCTATAGAGTGTGGCTGGCAGGTGGGTCCCAGCCTTGGCACTGGCTCCCCCTCCCTGGGCACCACGAATGCCTCTGTTTAATACAGACGTACCCCTGACTCCCTTATGGTTGGGGGTGCAGCTGCAGTGTCTTCCCCAGACTGCTGGGTGGGGGCCCTAGCCACGCCTGGGAATGGGGGTGCTATGGGGCACCGCTGCCCCCTGCTGATGGGAGGAACTATTGTGGCCCCTGGGGGACAAGCCGCCCAGCCTGTGCTGAGGCCACGGAGCACCAGGATCTCGGCACCAGCCCTCACTCACCCTCAGTGCAGCGGCACTCATAGGCGTTGGGCCGGTCCACGCACTTGGCACCATTCTGGCAGGGCGTGCTGGCGCACTCATCAATGTCGATTTGGCACATGGAACCGGAGAAACCTGGGCACAGAAAGGCAGGGGGCTCAAATGTATGCCGGGGCCCTGCACTGCCTCCCCATGGAGCCCCCACTCCCCACCGGAGCACTGGGGCCACCCCAGGGGGCAGCACCACCTCGGGGACGTTCCCTGGGCTGTGCTCTCAGACGCAGCCCTGCTTGGGGCAGATGCTGGGGGCCGAGCTTGGAGCAACTTCAGGCAAAGGCTCCAGGTCAGGGTTGGGCAACAGCAAGGGGCCAAGTGGACAAATGGGCTGGGGGGGGAGGGGGGAAATGCCACGGGAGTAAGGGGGACAGGGATATGCTGTGGTCAGGGAGTAGGCCACAGTGGTGGGGGGAGCTGAGCTCCGAGTTGGGGGTGCAGGCCCTGGCGATGGAGTGGGGTGCAGGGTCCAGGAGTGGGGCTGGGACAGGAGAGGAGTTGGGGTGAGGTGGGGGGTGCAGGGTCTGGGGGTGGGGCAGAAGAGGAGCTCTGGGATGGGACGCAGGGTCCAGGGGTGGGAGAAGAGAGGGACTCAGGGGCAGGGTGCAGGCTCTGGGGCTGGGGAGTGGAGCGGGACTCCAGGATGGGGTGCAGGGTCCGTGTGGGAGGGGGAGAAGGGCTTCGGGGTGGGGTTGGGTGTGAGCTTGGTGGATCTGCGAGCGAGCTGGGGGGGGCATCCTGTCCCAGAGGCGGGTGCTGTGCAGGACCATGGCACAGGCTCCCCACTGGGCCCGGCAATGGAGCAGGCCAGCTCCCCTCCCATCCCCATCACCGGCGTCTGCCCCACATGTAAATTGGGTTCAGGGGGCTGTGTGCCAGCAGGGGAGGCGGCCCCAGGAAAACAAAGGTGCTATTGTCCCCAGTCAGCAGGGAGAGCCGTGGCCTGGCTGTCCATCAGTCCCGCAAGAGGTAACCTCCGGGGTGAAAGAAGCAGGGGGGAGGGGGTTATGCTTCCCCAGCGAGCGCTCCCTCCCCTCCACCCCAGAGGGCCCCCTGCTGCTGGACCCAGCCTGTCCAGCCTGGGGCACTTCCATGGGCCCAGCCCTCAGCCCCAGGAGGAGCCCGGCCAGGCCGCGCTGGGAGCTCTGTGCCTGCCCTCAGCCTGGTCAGGCCGCGCTGGGACCTCTGCGCTGGGACCTCTGCGCTGGGACCTCAGTCCGGGCAGGCCGCGCTGGGACCTCTGTGCCTGCCCCCAGCCCATGGCCCCAGGAGGAGCCAGACTCACCAGAGGGGCAGGTGCAGGTGAAGCCATTGACGCCGTCCCGGCAGACCCCGCCATTGACACAGGGGTTGCTGTCGCACTCGTCAACATTGATCTCGCAGAATGTGCCGCTGAACCCTGCAGCCAGAACCCAGAGGGAGCATTAGAGACGGGGCAGGGGCGCAAGAGCTCCCTGGGGCAGGGGCGAGGCTGCATGCAGGGACCACGCAGGGCAGGCAGCAGCATGGGGCGGGGGAGGTGGCAGGGTACATGGGGGCAGGGCAGTGCCATGGGGCAGAGGAGGTGGCAGGCTTGTGGGGGCAGGGCAGCGCCATGGGGCGGGG